TAGCACAAGTATTAAATGATGCCAATACTGTAATATCAAATATAAGCACCAGCTCACTGCAAGAAACAAACCAACTGATGTACGGCAAGGCTGCAATTATAACTGAATACCGTGGATGCAAAATCAACAAACAAGAAAAAAAGCCAAACAGTGCACCGCCAAAATGGAAGATCGGGTTGGAAAATAAGATCAGCGTGCTAAGATCAGATGCAAGCAAACTAGAACAGATGAAAGAAAAGAAGGTGAAGAACAAAAAGACCAAAGAATACCTGATCAAGTAGGAGAAAAGGACAAGGAAGATCAAGAATTGCTCAGCACCAGGTGAAGATGAACTGCATTGTTTTTTGTTGAAACATTTGACTGCTCTGCACGCACTCACTGCCAAGCAGTTTAACAACATGCTGCAACAAGGTGAAATTGAAGATTGGTTAACATCTGGCAAAACCTACCTGATAATGAAAGATCAAGCAAAAGAGGCAGCACCAGGCAACTACAGGCCAATTCCCTGCTTCCCAACAACTTTCAAATTGCTAACTGGTGTGGTAGCTGATGCAGTCCAACAGCATCAAGTTGAAAACAAGCAGAAAGGAAATGGCCCAAACAGGAGAGGGACAAAAGATCAGCTCCTAACTGACAAAATGATTTTGGAAAACTATAAGAGAAGGAAGACCAACCTGAATGTAGCTGGGATTGATTACAAGAAGGCATTCAACTTCCAGCCACATGACTGGATAATCAAGTGCCTAGAAATAGCATGAGTCAGTAGAAACATCAGAAACTTTGTGCAAAGATCAATGGCACAATGGAAAACACAGCTGCTGGTCAATGGTGATAGACTGGAAGAAGTTAACATCAAGAGACGAATCTTTCAAGGAAATTCAGTATCACCACTACTGTTTGTCATTGCATTGATTCCTCTGTCAACAATACTGAACAAGTCAGGCCATGGCTGTCAAACATCAAAAACATCTGCCAGGTTATCCCACCTCCTTTACATGGTCGATCTGAAGCTTTAGGGAAAAACACCATCTGAAATGGAATCGCTGCTCAACACTGACCAAATATACAGCCAAGATATTGCAATGACTGGACAAATGAGTTTGGACTGGACAAATGTGCCACCCTTACCATCAACAGGGGAAAAATAGTGAAAACTGAAGAAATCAAGATGCCTAATGGAAATAACATCAACAGTCTGGATGAAGAAGATCACTAAAATACCTGGACATCCTTCAAGCTGACAACATCAAGCACACTGAAGTCAAGGCGAAGGTTAGTAGAGAATACATCAGAAGAGTGAAGAAGATCTTAAAGTCCAAACTAAGTGATGGAAATACCATCAAGGCAATTAACACCTGGGCAATTCTAGTTGTTAGATATACAGCTGGAATAGTAGACTGGACTCAAGCTGAACTAAAAGCCCTGGATAGGAAGATCAAACAAATAATGACAATGAATCATGCCCTTCATCTACGCAGTGTTAATTACAGACTCTACTTAGCAAGGAGCATAGGTGGGTGTGGAATGTAACAAGTACACCAGACAGTTGAAGAAGAAAAAAGGGCATTGGAAGGATGTCTGAAGAACAGTGAAGAAGATGCACTGAAGCTAGTACCCTATGAAGGTTTACTGAATACCAAAAAAACCAAACTGGCCTTTAAGAAAGACCAAATGAAGAATAGAAAAGAGACATGGCAAGGCAAAGTATTACATGGCCAGTACATGAAAAAAATAGCAGGCAAAGCAGATAACAACAAGACCTGGCAATGGCCAAGAGCAGGAAAGTTGCGGCGGGGTGGGGGGGCTAATTCTGGCTGTGCTAGACCGCTTTAAGAACAAATGCATATAAAGCCAGAATTGAGAAGACAGCAACAGACAGCAAATGCCGCCTCTGTGCTAGACCGCTTTAAGAACAAATGCATATAAAGCCAGAATTGAGAAGACAGCAACAGACAGCAAATGCCGCCTCTGCAAAGAAGCTGAAGAAACAGCAGACCACCTAGTTAGCTGCTGCAAGAAGATTGCACAGACCAACTACAAACAGCAGCATAATAAAGAAGTAACAATAATGCACTGGAATATCTACAAGAAATACCATTTGCCCGCAAGCAAGAACTGAACAAAGTAATAGAAAATGAAGAAGCTAAAGCGCTCTGGGACTTTAGAATTCAAATGGAAAAGCACCTGCCACACAACACCCCAGACTTAACAATTGTTGATAAGAAAGACAAAAAAGTCTGGATAGTGGACATTGCAATACCTGGAGACAGCAGAATAGAAGAGAAGAACTGGAGAAAATCACAAAATATAAAGACCTGCAAATAGAATTAGAACGACTGTGGCAAAAGAAAGCAAAGATAGTACCAATAGTTATAGGTGCCTTAGATGCAATCCCAAAACATCTGGAACACCACTTGAACACCATCGGCATTGACAAAATCACCATAAGTCAATTGCAAAAGGCAGTTTTACTTGGAATAGCTTATATCCTGCGACAATACTTTTTACACCATCAAACAACATCTGCCTATCCCAGGTCCTTGGTAAAGACTCAATAGGTGGATAAAAATGCCAAATCCAGTGTAAACATCTGGCTGACAGTGCAACCAATCATAAAAATAAAAATATACAGCTGAAGAAATGTAAACTCAGTAACCAGATCCATAATTAAAACGGATCTATCTTGAATTTCTCTAAAAATCCTCATCAGAGAAATCTATTTGGCATGTAAAAACCTCAAATTCAAGATTAAAGGTTGTATTCCTTGGGAAATTTGTATACATAATTTGCTAGTGCATTTCATTACTGCTGATTTTATATGTATATTATTAGCCAATTTGCACCAATTTTTAATTTTTATAATAAAGTGGCTTGCAATTAAAAATATTTTTAATTGCAAGCCACTTTAAAAATATAACTTTTGTGAAAATCAAGAGACTATACATTATTTTATTGAATCCAAGTTCTAATACAACAAAACTTCATTTTAATGGATTAAATAGGTGTCTGCTATTCCCCAAACTCCCCAAATTACATTACACAAATTATGTAAATCAATACAAATGATATCATACCTATCACTTGTGAAACGATATAATTATACACTTTGTTGTGTTACATGTTGAGGTTTCATTGTATTGGTATTACAAGATATAGAAGAGTTCCCCCAAAATCCTCTGAGTATTTTAAGTCAAGAATTTTAAGCCAACTTAAAGCCAACTTTGTAATTTTTCTCTTTTAAATTATAGATCCTCAAGTTATTTATAAATTTCTCCTGAAATTAAAAAATTACACACTAAGTAGTATGAAGAACTACTGCATGGAAAACCAAACTCTAAGCATGTATAAATCTTTGAAGTTTGCCCAAATTTTTAGAAAATCACAGAACTACTACTATTACTATTATTACTACAGTTATTATTAATGGTACCAGTCAATGTGACAAACAGAAACACATAAACACTAGACAGACAATGCAACAAACAAAATACACATTATTAAACTAGAAAATATGAGGATTCATTCTAAAATATATCATCTGCCTAAGGCTCCAAATCAAATCAAATTTTTATTAATAGAATATAAACAAAATAATTTATTTTTAACAATTTATATTTTGTTAATATAAAACAAAATAAAGTATCAGCATCAGAAGCATGCTTAGACACATCGATGTAACCAAAAATTGCTAACTTTATATTTGGTTATTATAACTGGAACAAAACCAGGCAAGTGATAGTCTAGAGGATGTTATAGTTTGGGCAAGCATTCCAGTGCACTGGATGTCAGTTCAGAGCAGTTTTTTTTAGTGGTGGAACAAAATTTAGCTACTAAGCGGATAACATGGGTCTGGAGGTCTGACAATAGAAGTGGAATCTTTTCCTCATCTTCTCTACCTGGCAAATTGTTTAGGAGAAGGGAGATTAAGGTGTCATGTAGAGCCCTATAAAAGTTGCAGTATAAAAAACAAAACCCATATCTTCAATTGCCTAGAAGCCACAGGGGCAGACACCACTTGCTTCCTAATTTCTTAACAAATATGCATATTATTTGCCACCTTTATATTCATGATCACTGATGTTTCATGAAGGGTTACCACAAGATGGATGGCATTTTTTTAAACTATTTTTGTTTGTTTTTAGCACCCTCGAAGAAAAATAACACTCGTAAAACTGTACTATTATCTAAACATTCTTTTAAAACACAAAACTCAAAACCAGGGCATTTCAGACTTGCAACAGGACTCACTTTCAAGTAAGCTGAATAGCACTACAGCCATTTTCATCCCTCTTACGTCCTGAACTTTGCTTCATCTGGCAGTGCCAAAATCCTTTGGGGGAATTTTTCTTTTCCATCAGACTGAAAAGAACTTTGAATGTCACCGTGAAGAAAACTGGCAAATTTGTGCCACTTATATTCACTTACAACTCTAATTACCTGCTTTAAAAACATCCATCTAACAAGAATTTTACACATCAGTCGGTTATATCAAGGGAGAGAGAAAATGGGCATTTATTGTATTTACGACATTGCATGAACTAGAAGAAAAAGATCTCATTTTATGAACAAAATAATGTTTATTTGTGAAGTATTTATATCTTTTCCCAAGGAAAGTAGAAGAAAAAAATACAGCAAAATTCCTAGCACCAGTTAATTATTTATGTGTTGGTAAGATTTAATGTGTATCATTGCACAAAATTAGCCCTTTCAAAGCAAGCTGAAAGGACTAACTTGGTTGAATGGGTATAAAAGCTTGATATAATAAATTTTATAACTAAAAAACAAAACAAAACTGCAGTTGTAGAAACACTAATACCGAAAAGAGTGCTGTCCTATTAACTAATTTGATAAATATTTTTATTCTATTATTTTCATTTCCAAAGCAATGAACTTTGCGAAAGACCTTTCCTCCAATCTGCAAAAATCTGAGCATTAAGACTCAGTTCCTCTAGTTTCTGAAGAAAATCAATATCCCATTTTTTTCAAGAATATTTGTACTACAGTAAGGATTATAACATTTGTTTAAAAAAAATATAAACCAGAACACGACAGCATAATCATGTTCCAGAAAGTTATATACTATCCTTTCTCTTTCCTAGTTCTCACAATTTTGTAAGATTTTTATTTTCATTGTGTTATATTTGTGTTTGCCTTATTGTTAGCCACCTTTCCTGTGGAAAGACAGGATATATATACTCCAGAAATATATAACTGCATTCTGCACTATTTTAGGAATGTATTCCTACCTCATCAGATGAATCAGATTCCAAGTTAAGTGAGAGGTACATAATAATATGTGGCATACTTTGGAGAGAGAACTGTGGATCATTATTATGGTCTCTCCACAGCAGCTTCACCATGTTGCTTTCGGAGGATTCTGTCTGTTTACTCTTTGGCTGAGATGCTCCTGTTGGTTCAAATACTGGTATTTCAAATGTAAATTTCACCTGTTAGAAGATTTAATAATATTTCACATGGTATAATTTGGATCTTTATAAATGATTTCTAGTAGGTTTAAATGTACACAACAGCTAAGTTCAGTAAGCCGTGGTTTTCATAAATATAATGAAGTAATTACACCAAACTGTTCACTATTAACAACTGCAAAGATAAAACCTGTGATAGCAAAGACTTGTAATACACACAAATCAGAAGTTATATAATTTACATGTAAGCTGCTTTCAGATTTTTTTTTAAAGTTTAAAAGCAGTGTAGAAATGTTTTAAGTAAGTTAATAAATGTATTTGTTGTATTTGAAATACCAAATGGTATTCAGTATTGTGAATTGTTGTAGAATGTCTTTTTTGCTTCATATTTTTGCTTCATATTTGCTTCATATTTTGCAGTGAATATCACTTAAAGTAACTATTATTGCTTCATTAAATTTATGGTTTGATTTTTTAAAATAAAAGTTGGCCATCAATGTCCATGCCCCACCCATTCCTATTATTCTGTGCATTTTTCACATTTGTCCCTATTTTGTCATGCCTGCTTTTCAAATCTTCAGGGCCATTAAAGTTTTTAAGGGTCTACATCACCCAATCAAAGAACAGACTGTCATATAGTTAATCACATCTGATTATGGAAGTATGTCACAAAGTGAAAACAAAGCTATCCAAATGGCAAAAAAAGCCACCTCTAGTTTGGGAGGGTGAAATAAAGGAAAGGGAAAGGATTATATCTTAATTGCTCAGGCAACAATCTGACTGTCGAATCTTTCTGCTTGGTGCTAGAAATTTTAATGCCTTTTCCTGACCTTATTCCTGCCTTATTACATTCTACTTTAATCTATTTCTTGCCGTAGATAGATAGACAGGACTAGTTGGAGCAGAATGCAAACATTGTTCTAAGCATACATCCCTTGGGGAAAACAACAACAGTGTGATGGAGTATGTATTTTATTTGCAAGATCATCCACATTCTATCCTTTTTAGTTAAAGGAACATGACTAGAGAAGAGCCTGAGAGAAGCATCCTACTTAGGAATTGAAATATGTGCTCACTTCTGTACATCTCTGCCCTGGCAACAACTTACTTTCTTTTGACGAGGGCTACAAAGAAAGTTGTGTTTCAGGTATGATTCTTATAGAAAGCTAGTATAAAAAACCTCATGTTTGTACACTTGTCTAAATAAAATCAACTGAAGTATACCTGCATAGGACCAGAAATACAAGACAAAATCCTTTCTATATTTTCAGAGTTTACATCAACATCATTTACAGCAACAAGGACATCGCCTGAAAGCAGAAGGAAAAGCAACATTAAGGAAGCAGACAAAATAAAATCCTAAACAATGGGTGGGATGTTTCTTAAGATTGATTGATTTACTGGCATGCATTGAAGATTAATATATATTTCAGTTACCTCATTGGATTATTATATTTCACTGTATTATATAATGGCTAAGCAAATGGTACTAAATTAGATCAATGGAATCCAAATACAGTTGCACAAAAGAGACTAAAATTTTATTGGCAAAAATACTGTACAGTAAATGACAGAAGTCACAGTATAAAAACTATTCATTCTGTTTTCCCAGCAGAAAGAATACTCCTATCCTGCTTATATAGCAGATGTTTACTCCAATTTGATTCATTTTGCAATCCCATATCTACATAAATGATAGTCCTCTAAAGTAAGCAAAACACCCCATCATAATCTTTAAAAGTAGCATGGGGCTAATATTAGGAAGGAAAAATTAGTCTTGTCACCATTATTGTTGTTATTTAGATTTATCTTTCCTTTCCTACAGGACCTCAGGATAGCTTATATGGAAATCTGTTTCCATTTTATTCTTATAATAGCAAACCTATGACATAGGTTGGGCTGAGTGAATGTGATTGGTCCAAAATCACCCAATGACTTTCCATGGATAAGAATGGACTTCAATCTGGATCACCCTAGTCCCAAACCAATACCATTAACAGCTATATCACACTGATCTTTGTCCCCTCCCCTCATTAAAAAAATAATAAGTAATGTTCTTATCCAATATATCAATTTCTAGTTTGTGTATTTTTATTTCATTCCAACATATACACAACCATCTTTTAATATGCACCTGTCTGATAATATGACCTTAAACTTACTGACTGACTGCATCTAGAGCCAGTATCATAGGGGATATTTAAGTCATTGTTGGAAGAAGTGATTAGGTCACTTAGTCTAACTTCCTGCTCAGTGTGGGGATCCAAATTAAAGCATCTCTGATAGATGGCTATTTAGCTTCCATTGAAACACTGTTCATAAATGTGTTCCCATCCTGTTGCCTTTCTCTGAACCTGTTCCCATTTGTCTGAAACTTTGAAGAATAGTGTCCCAAAATGGACATGGTATGCTGTTACATTATAGAATTGTTTGAATAGTCATCTGAGACCCTTATACATGCAGTTATCTGTTCTGTTTCCTTCAATGTGTTTGCTTGTATAACATGATATGAGCAGCCATCAATTCAAACCATATCGTTTTAGGTCTAATAAGAGGTTTTTCTTTCAACCACAAAATCTTCTAATTTTCTCTCAATATAACCCTGAATTGCAGTTTCTTTTTTTTTTTCTTTTTCTTTTTTGTGGGCTGGGAGTCATACTCACTTGGAAAGGATTGCTACTTCCCCACTAGCCATGGGCATCAACAGAAATGGAGGCAGCAAATGTGATGTCACAACACAAATTCAGTACCTTTAGTATTTGTGTCATAATATCTTAGACAAGTAGGTCTAAGCTTGCACTGTGATGTCACAATGCATATTTTGTCCTTTTGACATTGTGGATAGCTGTAGATACTTTCTGCTGCTAACATTAGCAGTGGGAATTTATTTTTAATATGCCTTTAACTGTAACATTAAAATCTTTCATTATGGTTGCGCAGAAACCGTGTATCTAAAATATAACAGGAACATCAGTTATAACCTTTACAGAAAAATAGGTTATTAGCCTCAAAGAATCTTTTTCAGTGTACAGTATTATGAAGAAATAGATGGTGCAAATATAAGCAATGTCAGCTTCTACTAGATGCAAGCTCAATTCTTTATAACCACTTTCTATTAAAAGGACAGGCATTTTACATAGTATACAGAAAATTTAATGGGGGAACATGTGTCAGTTTCCAGGCAGTAAATATGAAGTGAGGAACAAGCTTTAAATTTCCTAATGTATTTTAGAAGCAGCTAGAATAACTGTGTAGGCTCATATATGAAGCTGGGCAAATAAAAATGCTTAATCATTAAAATACAGAAAGAGGATTTAAAATACGGTGCTCAACAGAAAAAGTCAACCATTCTTCAGATGAAAATACTTTGTGAAAAAAATAGTTTAAATTATATTAAGTAACAATATCTATTGATTTGCAAACAAAAGCTTATCAACAGGGATACTACAATAATTTATAGTACTTAGCAAGTAATGCCTCTTAAAGCTGGCTCTGGTGAAGGTGTGCAGTACTTCATGAAATTATAATTGAGATGATACAATGATTACACTCTTGTTTAGATGCAATAGCCAAGATATTTATGGGTACTTTGGATTTTCCCTCTGTTGCTTAAGTGATGAGAACAATGTAAGTCTGAAGCCAGCTAAGTTACTCTTAACCAAAATACCACTCTTTCAATAGAAAACTAACTAATTGCATCATGGCCAAAGGATCTTTTACAACAGGCATAACCCTTCCAAGGATATAAAATCCACTAGGATATATTGAGGTGTTAGCACAGAGACATAGAAAATCCTATCTGCTTTATTGAGAGCTGAAGCAGCATGAATGAGCAGAGCATAAGCTCCTTAAATGATTCTCTCTTACATAGGCATGTCTATTTCCAACTTACTCTTAATGTAAGTTCACACAAAATCTTGTGTCACATAAATTGCTTAAAGCTAAATATAAGTATTCATTTTTAAATCACAATGTACAACTTGCTGAATTTATTCTTCTTGTTTTAAATATACTGTGCTAACTTATATTTTACTTTATTTAACTAAGAAGTGATGCATTTGGGCTTGATTATAAGTTATTTCTGCCAAATGCAAGAGAACCCAATTACAACTAGACTTTTCTATAATTCAAACATTTGGCTCTAAAAGATGTAGCTCACTTGTCAATTTGAAGCCAAAAGGACCTTGCTAAAGTAGAAGCAAAAACATACTGGCATATAAAAGAGCAACTGCTGTCTTAAGAGTAAAATAGCATGCTTTCCAAAATGCTAATCTGGATTTAAACAAAATTAGTTATTTTAAAAAATCCTCCACTACTCATTTTCTAAGTTGTCTTATCTCTATGAACTTTCTATAAAAGTATAGTTCACTGTCAATAATATATATATTTTAATTTTATATCCCAGTGGCTTTAAGAATTGATTTAATTCTAGCTAGCAATCAACAGTAAGCCTATATGCCAAAAGAGATACTGCATCCTTACAAAGTATAGGATAACATACTGTACCTATTCAAAATATTTTCAACTATATATTCTCTTTCATTTTTCCAAAGAAAACACATAGGAATTTTCCTTTCTTCCTGCTATGCTATATATAATACCTATGTCTAGCTTTGCAATATTACACTGTATATGGGTCTTTATAATAGTTATATCCTGGCAATATTTGGGTTCAATGTTTTCTGAACTCTCTACCTATTCCTTTTAGTAGGCTTTATGATTTTGTGGAGTCCCAGTTTATTGTATAATCCTTAAAAATACTGTATAATAAGACTTCACATGTACAGATGACATAAGGTTACAATGAATGAAAGCAATAACCAAATCACTCTTGGTTTAAATAGCATACTTCATATTACTAACAAACATAGAAAACAATATTGGCCAGCATACGATGTACTTTATATTCTCCTGCTCCTAATATCTATTGCAATTACATTGGTTCCATGTACGCTAGGAGCTGAGAGTTACCAGCAAACTTCTGATCAGAGAAAAAAAATATTTTTATGAAGGCCCAGAAAGATCATCTGTCACATGTGTCAAAAAATGTTCATGATGTGATTTGACTTCCTAATAATATGTTCCTGTTCTATTATGTATAACATATGAAAAGTTCTACTGTTCAAATAAGACTAAGATCTCTCAATCCATGACATGTTCCTTAATCAGAAAACCATTACCAGAATTGAAATAAGTCACTCCATCTTCCACAATAGTGGTCTTGTCAGAAGTGTGTAAAATACTGAACTTACCAATTAAGATCTGTCCAGACTTTATTGCTGAGCTTCCTGGGATCAAACCATGTACTATGATTTTCTCTTCATTAGCGCTTCTAGACTCAGTACCACGACTATATTTTTCAGCTGTGGTCCATGGTGATTGGTGGACAATTCCTATTAAGGATTCTAGAAGCTCTAGTTGGTCCCCTGTTGCAGCATTTGAGACTCTCTTTGGATTTACATAAATGTAGACTTCTTTGTACAGCTGTTGGTCAACATCTCCCATCTTATGACAAGAATGGTGTTTCAATATGGATGCTGGGCCATAACTATGGACACAATCTTTACGACTTGCTTTCTTCTTTTCAGACTGCTTCAGTAGGAGACTTTTATTCTTTAATAATTTAGTAAACTGTTGCAATCTATGTTCACTCTTTCTGTCTTTTAGAGCTTTCTCATGAATAACCTCAGCTTCATTTTCACTAAATCTGACATGGTTCATCATAGATCTAGCAAGAGGACTGTTGTGAAGAATGGTTTCCTCCTCATCGTCACTTAGTTCTAAGTAGAATAATTCTCCATTTTTCTGTACACTATCCAACCACTCAGGTTCAATGTCACTATATAACACAAAAACAAGATGACAATGGTATATTTAGTTCATAATTAACATAAAAACTCTTACAAAGTGCAAGAGGGGACCAAGTTCAATAGATTTACTATTTAGATGCTTCAAAAGCATTGGATATTGAAACTGACATTTTTGGTGCAACATATAAAAAGCTAGATTAGTCATGACAATAATGGTTTTGAACACTGCTCATGATTTTTAATGTATAAAAAGTGTATGTGTGTGTATGTGAGATTGGGAGAGTCGTATCTATTCTGTAGCACTGGGCAGTATATTAATCTATGTTGTCTACTTTAGTGAAATTCTCCTTCCAAATCTGTTCTTTACTCTTGAAGTAGAACAGAGGCCCCTACATTTTTCAGGCTAGCAGATGCTTTTGGAATTCTAGGAAACTGTTATGAGTGTTCTCAGAAAATGCCACCCTGGGGAAGAGGAGATATCTATCACTGCTTTTCTGGGAATGTGGGTAATGGGCTCCAGCTGACCCTCGTTTTTATTTTTTAAGAAAACTTTTTGGGGCCATTTGTGGTCATAGACAGTCTTCAAAATAAAGATGATGCTAGAAGTAGTGCTTGATTTTCCCATTTTAAAAAATGGGAAAACTAAACAAATTATGAAAAAAAAAGTATTTAAAAAAACAGGTAGGACAGAGTCTGAGCAGTACCAAGAAGACATGATAGAAACATATTAAGATCTCTGGGTCCCATGCTGATGTTCTCAAAAATGAAACATTTTTTTTTTATTTACAGTACTTAAATATGCCATTTAAATTACACAAATCTACATGATACCAACCTAAAGATAATCCACATAATACCAATATACTTTGTAACAGGATTTTAAATTGGAAAACACCCAATAAGCATAAAATGGGAAATTCTACTGATTTGTTGTTTAGTCGTTAAGTCGTGTCCGACTCTTCGTGACCCCATGAACCATATTGCGCCAGGCCTTCCTGTCCTTCACTGCCTCCCTGAGTTTGCTCAGTTTCATGCTCATTGCTTCAGTGATGCTATCT